AAAAAAAAAGTCTTTGGGACTCAAAATTCTTCCTGTAGCTGGCCAAGGAGTTAATATTACATTTCACTGCTTTTCCTCTGCTAATCACTCTTGGAGACTATTTATAACCAGCACAAACCATCTATTTTTATACAGTAAGTACAATATGTCCATTTGAGCAACACAGAAAGGCCATTGTGAGGGAGGGGCCGCGCACAGTTTTAAACACTCTAATTGGTGCTTCCCGTCCTGTCCAGCACTTAGTCACCCTAATCCAAAGTCTGTTAGGGCTGGAATAAAGCCAGTCTCATTGGAGCATTTTTAAAATGACACCTTGGCTAGCCAAAAATGAGAGCCTTTTGGTCTCCCCCTTGACGAGTAAGGAGGAGCTTCCTGCAGTGTGGCAGGCAGAGTTTGTTATGGAGATTGTGACAACAACCCCCCACCGGGCTCCCAGGGTCATCTGCCTCAGAAGCTGCATCCCAGACATCCTGCCAGCCTCTGGCCTTGGCCCTCTCTCCTGGAAAACTGGCCTGGGGTGTCCCAACTTTATGGCAGCGAGTGAATGAAGTATTGTTGTGTTAGTTATTAGCTCCTAACTAGATGGGTGTGGGGGGACCTCAGGTTGGTTTGTGAAGTGGAAAATGTGAATTAAGAACTGACTCCTGACCGCAGGATATGCCGCTCAAATAGGGAGCTCGTCTGGAGCCCTGCCCGGCCACAGACAGACGTGTGTATGGTCCCTGGACGTGTGTACGCATGTATGTACAGCTGGCCATCCGGGGCTTTGTCTCCCTTCCTTCCAAAAGATGCTCGGGCACCAGCCCAAGAAGGAAGTAAACACTGGGCCTCTGTGACACTTCACTGCTAAGGACACCCAGAGCACATACCTCCTTTTGTGCCTGCTCCTCATCTCACTTGCTAATAGACTTTCCTTTTATCGGCAACTGTGGCGGTGCCGGCCCATTTGTGACAGCCAGATTGCGACTTTGCTACTCGCTCCCCTCCCGTGATCCAAGTAGTAATTACCAGCCATTTGATCCAAAAGCATCTGCTGTGAGAACACACGGGTTTCCATACTGAGCAGAAGGAATCGGACATGTGGTTTCAGGGCCATTCAAGTAATAATAATAAGAGACGTCGCCCTGCAAGGAGGGAGCAGCAGATTTGCAAGTGTTAACTGGTCAGTGTGTTGCGGCTGCGGATCGCTCTGCTCCCAGGTCATGATGGCCAGGGGGAGCTGGATGGCTAGGTGCTCTTGGCGACAGTGGCCCCACTCTCCTGGGTTGCCCGGATTTTTATTTTTTTTTAACAGGGGATGACTCCCCTGCAGTTCTGACATGGCCATCCTTGAACTGCCATTTCATTTAAAAATGGTTATGGGTAGAACAACCTAGTGCCCCCATCCACGCTGCCCTTCTGACAGTCTTCAGAGTGTGTCTTTCAAACACCCTTCTTCTGTCTCCCTGTGAGGCTGGTGTTTTTAAGGTAAAGAAACAGAAGTGCAGAGACATGGTGACCAGGCTAGCCAGGC